TAGTATATGTTGATTTAGATAGTGGAGTAGTAAAATCAAAAGGAATAATAAGAGAAGTACCAAAATTAATAAATACAGTATATCATGAACTTAAAGATGTTTTTAATAAAAGAGAATATTCAAGTGGAAATATTAATTCAGACATATTTGATGAAAAGTATTATTTACATAAAAGTGAAGAATTTAATTGTTCAGTTAGAATTATATTATTTAAATTTATTAATATTATGTTAAATGAATATAGAGATTATATTGGATATACTTGGATTGCAGATAAAGAGTCTGTAGTTTTTTCATCAGAAGAATTTATTTATAATCAACCATCAGATAGAAGAGACTTCTTGAAAGCATTGTTTGAGTCTCAACATTTTTCATTCTTCCTTCAAAATTTCCCAAAAAGACATGACCATATATTTGAAGATTGGCAAATAAATAATATTTATTTAATTAATACTAATGAACTTATTCAAATGTATTCAAAAGAATATCATCCTATTACTTCAATTATTCAAACATCAACAGAAAAAAGTCTTGAAGTATCTCCAATTAATACATTGGTATTGGATTGTGGGAAACTTAAATCATTAAGAGTAAGAAACACTGTAGTTAATTCACAATTAGAACCAAAAATGTATCATAATCATTTAGAAGGATTAAAAAAACAAAGAGTAAAAGAAGTATTTAATAATGATATAATACAATTTAGTGATATTCAAATTGGAATATTGGTGATGATGAATGAAGGAACAACAAAAAGTCTTGATACAGATTTATTATTTAATTTTTTATCACAAGTTGAAGGAAGAAAAATATTTACACAACGATTAATGAGTAAATATACATCATTTTGTATTAATAAAATGGAAGGTAGAGTAAATAATATAGTCTATGCAGTAATTGGTGATATTCTTCAACAAGAAGCAACATACGCATATTCACAAAAAGATTATATGACACCACAACATATTATTGAGTCATCGAAATTATATTTTAAGATTGAAGGGAAAAAAAGAATTACTTTACTTCCATTACTAAGTGAATTAGATATTTGGAACCAAATGGATGTATGGAATAATATGTTTACAAAACTTTGTTGCATCGACAAAGAACTCATTTATAAAGAGGAGTATGGGTTAGACCTTCCGTCAAGATGGGATTTATTTAATAAACAACAACAAGATATATTTAGAGATGAAGAGACGCAAAGAATCAAAATTAGTATGAAATCATTATTAGAAACTATGCACACTGTTCGGGTAAGTGATAGAACTATCAAAAAATTTGTTGGATATTCGTTAAGTCAACTTCGATTCGATGAAAAAATAAGAAAAGAAATAGAAGAAATTGCATTCTCAAGTTGTAACATTATAACAGAGAGTGTTAAAAGCAATAAAGAAAGAGCTTTATCTAAAATGAGAGAAATGTATAATGCTGTTTATCTTACTGATGAATAAGAAATGTGTTTTATTTAGCAAATAGTTTATTTTTAATAAGAATAATTTAGTTATTAATTCAGTTTAATTTGATTGATACCTCATTTAGAAAAAAAATAAAAGTAAACAACTAAATGATAATAAAAATATTTTCTATTACTCCTTGCTCAGGAGAGATTAAATAATCACATTGCTTTAAAATTGCTTAATCAACAACTATTACATTATTCTTTGCTTTTAGTTGTTGAATTGTGACAACTTCCTTTTCTCATTTATTTTTTATTGTAGAATAGAGTATTTTAAACATCCCTGACTTAAATATTCATCATTTAAGTTTCTATTTGATTTTGATGAGTATTGAAATTTTTCTTCTTTATTTTTATATTTTAAGGAGAATATATAATTACTACTGTATTGCTTTGGAATAATATCCTTTTTAGCATCAACCACCACATCCTTTTTCTTTGATAATCCTATGTTATCAAATATATTGGTATTCTTGCAGTATTGGGTAAGATGTTTTTCTAACCAAATGCAACGTCATAACCAATATAACCTCATTTAGAAAAAAAATAATTATAAAAAAGAAATATTTTTTTGATTTCTACGGAAAAAGGAAAAGTCAGAAGATTTTTCAACTTAAAATATTTGTTAAAAAAAGAAAGATTCAAATCCAAAATAAACTAATAATAAATTATAATAAAAAAGTAAAATGAAACCATTAAGTAAAAATACAATAAAAAAATTAGAAAAAAAGAGAAATATAAATTTAAAAAAAGGGAAAGGGAGAGGAAAAAAAAAAGTAGAATAAGTGAAACGAAAAAGAAATAATCTCAAAAAGATTTTAATTTGATAAATGAAAATTAAAACGTATGTTAAATCAATTATTCAATTGATTTTATTTATCGTTTTTGTTAATAGAATCAATGGACTTTCCATTTGCTATATTCCAAATAACAATACGTTACTTACATATGGAACAGCACCAATAGAACCAAATGTGTGTAATTCAGTGCCACAACAAATAACAATAGATTCCGGAACACCACGTAAGTATACGTTTCAAGGTGGAATATCAACAATAATTGGTAAAGACACAATAAATATTCGACAACAACTTGTAAATAATGATGCAGAAAAAACAACACAAATAATTTTTGAAAAAGATAACGGACTAAAATCAATTTCATTAGGAGAAACAGCAATTAAATGTTCATGGATTATTACTAATGAAAATACTGGATCAGAATTTGTATATTTCTTTGCATATAAAAATGAAGCATGGGGATTTACTAAAATTACTGCAAAAACTAGTTTTCCATTATACATTTATACACAGTCATATGAATTATTTGAATTAACTAGAACTAATTCAGATTCATTTGTATTTTTTAATGGTATTAATGACACTCATAACACACTTGAAACAACAAATAAACCATATATTAATACTATTAGAAAATCATTTACTAACGATTGTATTTATCAATTTTCATCTTATTATATTGGAGGGGCTGGAGTAAATGATGGAAATTATAAAATGATTTCCATTTGTGAAAGAAATTCAATTCAAAGATATGTTCAGTGTTATTGGTCAAAAGGTTCTTACACTGATTGTTCTTGTAAACCAGTTTCTAAGGAACCAAAAATTAAAACAAGTGGTAATTTAAAATATCCAGACTGTCACTACTTATCTTATTTATATGACTTTTCTCTTAATACTGAAAATACTTATGTAGAATTTGATACTGTTAATACTACTTCTTGGTCTGATTTTCTTATTCCTCAAAGAATGGAATCATTAACTTTAGATATAACAGCTAATGGAATTGACTTTTTAACAATTAACACAGATTTTTCTTTACCATCATTTCCATTTAAAGTGTATGGTGGTTTAAATATTATTGGTGAATTAACATTTGAAACTGCAGCTGATTATTATTTTAAAAATTTAACATTTAAAAAAGTAATGATTGATGAATATATTGACGATAATACTATTATATTTGCTTCTATTGTTAACGAAAATGATGCAAAAAAACTTGAATCTATTGAAACTCCAAGTAAAAAAATTATTCAAGTTTTACCAACATGTGGAACAGTGGATACTATAAGAAGATTTGTTAAAAATCCAGGTGATGAAAGTAGTGATTCTTATTTAGGTTGCAAATGTATTGTTGAAACAGAAAATACTTTTGAACAATTTGATTGTGAAGAGGTTTCAAAAGAACCAACAAGCCAATTAGATCTTATCATTAGTAAAAGTATTTATGATGGAAATAGTTTTATTAGGTATTGGAATAATATTAAATTTACTGGAAATGGTTATAGAACTCTTAAAGGATTAAGACATAATGCTAAGATATGTACTTTTATTGCTGACAGAACGTATATAATTGACACTGAATTATATTGTGATGAAGTTAACATTGAAAAGGGAGTTACTATTGAAGTCAAAGGAAATTTCTATATAAAAACACTTAACATTTTAGAAGAATATTCTAATCTTAACCAAAAACCAATTTTTATTTCTTCTCCATTAATTTTAACAGACCTTTCTTCTATTAGTTTTACTCTTCCTTTACAATCTTGTATTGAATTAGTTACTTCTTCTCTTATTTATAATTTAGATGTAAAAAATTTTGGGGATTATTCATTAGTTGGACTTGAACATTTATTAAGAGTTTGTCCTAGTAAATCAATTAATAAAGCTGTTGAATGTGAAATGGATGGAACTAATTATCCAACAAATTTTATAAATTCATATTGTCCATGTAGTGGGTCAGAATGTTCTATTAAAATACCAAATACCATTTCAAAAGTAATGGCTTCTACTATATCTAGTATTGAAGGAAAATTAATCGTTAGTGGGGATCTTTCATTAAGTAATTTTAACTTAATTTCTACATTAGAAATTAAAGGTCAACCTACTTTAGTTATTGAAGATACAACTGAACTTCAAATAAATAGTATTAATCCATTATCTGAATCTATTCCAAATTTAATTCTTCAATCACCTACAATTATTAATGGAGCTTTAAATAAATTTAGTATAACACCTTCAAATGTTATTACATTCAATTACAATAATGTCCAATTAGAAAAAGTTACTGAAACTACTACAGGGTCTTTAATCCTTAAACCAACTGTTACAAGTCTTTCTATTGAAGAAATAAAAACTGCTTCTTCTTTAAACACAATCCCTTTATTTATTTTAGAAAGCTCAGAAACACCAATTACAATTAGTGGAGCTCTTTCATCAACTTCAAATAAAATTATTTTATTAACTAAAAGTAGGCAAGTCAGAGGTCCTAGTACACTTTCTTGTGATGGACAAGCTATTTTACCAACTGGTTTTAAAGATTGTAATAAAATTGGACTTTCATCACATAAATGTTATTTTAATTCTAATAAATATATTTTATCTTCATCAAATCTTAATATTGATTATTCTTGTCCTTGTACTAGAACTGATGATATTTCTTGTTCTATAACTATTGATCCATCATCAACAAGTATTTTAGTTATAAATAGTATTACAGAATTTATTGTAGAGTCATCTATTACATTTACATCTAATTCACATACATTTACTATTAGATCAAGTTCATCAGATGCAATTATTACTATTAATGGAGATTCCAATTTTATTCAAGTTGATGCAATTCCTGGATTTACTTTAAAATCTACTTCTCAAAACAATGTTTTATCATCAATTTCAGAATACACATTTAGTAGTACTACAGCAACAAGTAGTAATAATCATAATTTTAAAAAAATTACAAATAATGGAGTTATTGTTGTTTCATCACCAAACAATTATTGTACAGTTGGACAATTAAATGATAATACATTCTTGTGTTTAATTTGTGGTGATATTACTGCTAACTCAAATGGAATATGTACTGAAAGAAAACCAATTGAACGTTGTAATAATTTAGTAAATGGGTATTGTAAAGAGTGTGAAGAAGGATATTATGTTGAAGGAGAAACATTAGGTAGTCAAAGTTGTCAAGCGTTACAACCAGGGTGTTTAAGAGGAAATTCAAAAGAATGTTTTAAATGTGTTAATGGTAAAAAAATTCATGGAACAGATTGTATTGATGTTAATGACTGTTCTTTTTACTTAAATGAATTATGTATCCTTTGTGAAGAAGGAAAACGAAGTAGTAATAGTCAGACATGTGATACAACATGTGATGAATCTTGTAAATCTTGTCACACTATTAAGGATAATGAAATATGTAATATTTGTAATTCTGATCTTAAATATAGTAAAGCATTTGATGGTAATACCTGTACAACTGGAGAAGGAGCTGATACAGTTTCTCCTACATATCAAATAACATGTTCAAAAGGATACAGTTTTGATAGTTCAAATCCTAATAAATGTAATAAATGTACAGCTGGATGTTCAATTTGTGAAGGAGGAAAATGTCTTCAATGTGAAAAAAAAGAAGATATTTTATTTAATGAAGCATGTAGAAGTCAAGAATTATCTAAATGTAAAACTATAAAAGATAATAAATGTATTGAATGTAATGAACAAGAGTATTATGACATTACAACAGGAACATGTACAAAATATGATTCGACGTGTAAAAGTGTTGATTATAATGGATTATGTACAAGTTGTACAAATAAAGAATTTTATGTAGAATTACCTGAAAGAAAAAAGTGTGTATCAAATCAACAAGATATGAAATGTTTATCAAGTTTATATGGTATTTGTTATAGATGTATTCCAAAATATTATCCAAATGGAGTAAAATGTGAACAATGTTTAGAACATTGTAAATTATGTTCTAATGAAAGTCAATGTGAAGTTTGTGAAGATGGATATCAATTAATAAATTCAACATGTGTTTTATTAACAACTGAACATTGTGAATATTATGGAACATTTTCATGTATTAAATGTGAAAGTGGATATTATCTTGATACATTAAAATGTACGGAATGTGATTCTAAATGTAAAGAATGCACATCAAATAATAGATGTTCATTATGTAATGAAGGATATTATTTAAATAATTCAAAATGCATTTCATTAGAAGAAGCTAACCAAAATCATTGTACAAATATAAGTAAAACAGGATGCGTTTCATGTGAAATTGGATATTATAATAAAGATGGAGAATGTTTAAGTTGTAATTCAATTAAACCTAATTGTGCAGTATGTAATATTACATCAAATAAATGTATTAAATGTCCAGAAGAATATATAATGAAAGAAGAAGGATGTGTACATTATTCAACAATACTACATTGCAAACAAGCTATAGATGGATATTGTGATAAATGCGATAATTGGTATGCATTAAGTTATACAAGAACTTCATGTGAAAGATATGCAGAAGGAGGACAAATAGCAGCAATAATTATATGTATAATTATATTAATAAGTATAATTATTCTTATTGGAATAGGAATTTATTTATTATATAAAAGATATCAAAGACGTCTTGAAATAACAAGAGCAAATGGAGTATTTCCATTAAAACATTGTAATATTGAATTACAAACATATCCAACATTACCAACAATTGTTTGTGAAACAACAATAATTGAATTTAGTGATAAAATGGAATTAAATAAAGAATATGCAAAAGGATTTTATATTGGAAATAAAGGAGAAACAACAGTAGAAATTCAATTTACAATAAAAGAAGATCAAAGATATAGAATAGAATTTAGTCCAAGTAATGTTGTAATTAAACCAAAAATGTGTTGTTTAATAAATGTATTAATTATGCCATATTGTTCATTTAATATTCAACAAGAATTTAAATGTATTATAAAAGAAAATAATAATAAAAAAGGAGAATTAAATTTTAAATTTAAAGCAAATACAATAGAAACATATAGTATTGATCCAGAATTAATTCAATACCAAAATGTATTAAGAGCAAATTATGAAATAACAGTGAGTAAGGCAATATATAATAACACACCAGTAATTGTTAGAAATATTGGATGTTTTGAATTAGGAATTGAAGAAAAAAAAATATATGAAGAACCATTAAATATTTTAGAAACATTTCCATCAAGTAATTATTTAACTAAATATATTGGTAAAGTGTTATTAAAAAATACACACCTTATTATTACTGAATTTGCTCCTTTAGGAACTTTACAAGATATTATTAATTCTAAAAAGAGTTCTATTAACTCTGTATTAAAACAAAGAATTATTTTAGATGCTTCAAAAGGAATTGCTATTCTTCATGCTAGAAATTATTTACATTATAATATTAAACCTTCAAATATTTTATTAATTAGTACTAATATTAATGACCAGTCTCTTGTTAAAATTACTGACTTTGGTTATCATTATAACTACAAAAAATTCTTTAATCATCGTATTGAAGTGTCTGAAAGACCTACTTATATTGCTCCTGAAATTTTTACTGGCCAAAAGTTTACTAATAAAACTGACGTTTATGCCTTTGCTTTAACTATGTTCGCTATTATTACTTTAAATGAACCTTATCCTATTACTGAATACCCTTATCCTTGGTCTATTTCTAAATTCGTTTGTGTTGGTAGAAGACTTCCTCAACCTTTAGATATGTCTAAACAAATGTATGATATTATTTCTAATTCTTGGGAACATTGTTCAGCTGATAGATTTACTATGGACGAAATAGTTCATGAACTTAAAAAATTATCATTGAACTAATTTAATTTTCATTTTTTAAATTTTTAAAGTCATGACTTCTTTGAATTTAAAATTATATTTTTTATGAATTTTATTATTTAAATAAACCATTACTCTTTTTATCTTATTCATTAAAAATATAATTCACTATGAAAATCAAATAATAACTTATTCAAGCACTATAGAAAATAAAGTTGTGTTAAAAATAAAGTTATTGTAAATTATAAATATTCACTGAAAAATCGTTAGGATGTTGTCATACACTATTAAAAAATACTAGTTTTCTTCACGGTAAAATATTGTTTGTTAAAAAATTAATTTAATAACTTAAATAACGTTTTGAAGAAAAGATGAACTCAAAAGAAAACTAGTTTTTTATGTTTTAAATTGAAATAAAACAACAAATATTAATAAAGTTGTTTATGATTTTGATAATTAAAATACAATATTATTTCTTTAACCAAAATACAACTTAAAAAAAAACAATTCATTTTAACTAATAATAAAAAAAGAAGTTAATAAATTTATAATACTTAAAATGCTGATATTAATTGTATTAACAATTCATTAGAGATGAAAAAGATAATTTAAACTAAAAGATAACACTAATTAATAAATTGAATTTTATTCTTTTATATCTAAAATACAAATTTTTTAATATAGTAAAATATGATTATCTTTACAATATTTAATTGGTTATAAAAAATAGTTAAAAGTTGAATAAAAGAAACACAATTAAATTAAAGAAGAAGAAATAAACAAAAGACGAAATGAAAATTTATTGGTTAACTAAAATTTTTTGTTTTTGGAGAAATAAAAGCACAAAAAAGAAAAGATAATAATGAACTAGAAAAGAAAGAATGAAGAAAAAGGAAAACAAAAGAAAAGAAAAAAAGATGAAGGAGGTGAACTTTTAAAAAGAAAGAACTAAAAAATAAACTAAAATGACCACAATTGCCAAACAAGATAAGATTATTATGAAAAAATCTGGAGCTTATCATTCTGTTCTTGACAAAGATATTGTCCAAACAGCTGGTAATTTCCCATTAATGCAATTTAAAACTAAAGTTAAAGTTAATCCTAAATTTTTATTAAAAGGAGATGATATGGATATTGTTGATGAAGCAATAACTTATTACAAAGCAAATGTTTTCTATAAGAATTTTGATATGTCAATTTGTGAAGCAGATAAGTTGTTAGTTTATTTGATTTTCTATATTCAATCACTTTTATTACAAGTTTGTTAACTTCATAAGTTCATAAAAAGAATGATTAATAATTATTAAATAGTTTAATGGACATACTAAAGTTGAATGTGAAAAAATGGCATACTCTTTGGCTATTGAAAATTTTGCACTTCCAGGTGATGGAAAATTCTGTCTTGGTGGTATTGTTGAGCCATTAAAAGCAACAGAGAAAGAAGTTGTTAGACAATATATGACAGCTATTAGAAACGAAACTGGATTAAGATTGGCTCAAGCTGTTTTTAAGAATGACCCAAAGAAATGTGATAAGTGGTGGATGTGTTTCAATAAGAGAAAGTTCTTAAATAAAACCATTTAAATCGAAGATTTACAAAAGTAATTCAAATACTTCTTTTCAATTCATTTTTATTTAAAAAGTTTTTTGTAATTTTTTGAAAGCATTTCAAAGAAAATAAAATAAAAAAACCCTAAATTAAAAAAAAACTTCAAAAGAAATAAAATGAGTCATTGTGTTGCATTATTGTCTGGTGGAAAAGATAGTGTTTATACTATTGTTTATTTACAAAAACACGGAATATCAATTGATTGTTTACTTCATTTAGAACCATCAAAACCAAAAGAATGTGAAAATAATAGTTATATGTTTCAAACAGCTCTTCATGAAGCAATTCCTTATTTAGCAGAAGCAATGAATATCCCATTAATAAATTATCAATTTGAATCAAATTCATCAATTTGTATTGATTCTAATTACACTCCAACTCAAAATGATGAAATTGAAAATTTATATTTTGGTGTTAAAGAAGTTTTAAATAAATTTCCTGAAATTGATTCTATTTGTTGTGGAGCCATTGCTTCTACTTATCAATCAAATCGTTTAAAAAATGTGTTTGTTATTAATTTTATTTTGTTTATTATTCTTCTTTTATTTATTATGTAATTAGTGCAAATCGTTGTGGTTTAAAAGTACTTGTTCCTTTATGGCAAAAAGATCAAAAAGATGTTCTTGATGAAATTATTGAAAGTAATTTAGATGTTCGTTTGGTTAAAGTTTGTTCAATGGGTCTTAATAAAAATGATATTGGAAAATCGCTCACTCAAATGAAAGAAAAATTACTTCGGCTAAATAAACTTTGTGGTGCAAGTGTTGTTGGAGAAGGTGGTGAATTTGAATCTTTTGTTTTTGATGGACCTTCTTTTAAGAAAAGAATTGAAGTTGATTTTGATGTTATTACAGAGTTAGAAGATGATTATGCACCAATTTGTTATATGAATATCAAGTCAATTCGCTGTGTTGATAAGAATTAGTTTATTAGATAAATAACACAATTTTTATTATTTTGTTATTAAAGAAATTTATTTTTAGATCTTAAAAAATAAAAAAAAGAAGTTAAACCTCAAAAATAAAAAAAGAGAAATAAAAAGAAAAAGAACTAAGAAATTAGAATAAAGAGAAATGTTTGATGATGATGATATGATGTTTGATGACGAAGGGGAAGTCATTGATGATGAAGAAGTTGGCATTGAAAATAAATTTTATGATGCTAAAAATGACATGGAAACAAATTTAGAAGGGGCCATTGAAAGTTTCAGAGAGATTGTTCAAGAAGATGCTGAAAAGAAGACTGAATGGTTTGTTCATAATAAATAAAGTATTAAAAAATAAAAAAAGGATAAAGAAAATTAAAAAATAGGGGATATAAGTCATTGAGAAAATTATGTAGATATTATGGTAAAGCAAACAATGAAGAAGAATTTAAAACATATTTTGTACAATTTTTAGAATATTTAAATATTCCAGCAGTTTCTAAAGCTGAGAAAGGGTTATTCCTTATTTTAGGAGATATAAATGGAATGAGAAATGAAGTGGTTATTGAAATAGTAAATAAAGCAATTGAAATTTGTGAAAAGAATTCTAATTTTAGTAGAATTGTATTTAAGTTAAATATTAAAAAAGCTAGTACT